GGTAGAATACTAAGTATCCTGTATACAGGTGCAAATTAAATTGTACAGAGTGAAATATAGTTTGTTACAGCTCAGAACCTTTGTTTTACAGTTGGCATAATGTTAATGCTTGAGCCATTCTATTCCCTGTGCCTGGATCCACTACCTGTATTTCTCCCCTATTTTGTTATTTACTGATTCTGTCTTCCTGGGAGCACTTTCTGATTCCCTAAGACTGCATGAAGGTTCTCTTTTTTAGCTTTCATCCCATTCATATTTACTTCTACAGTTCCATGTATTACATTGTATTATAAGTGCTTTTTACATTCATGTAAAATGGAGTTAAGACTTTTTACCTTCTCATACTTGAAGTAGGATAGATGCATGCTGAGTATAGTGGGTGAAGTTCATTTAGCATTCTGATGGTCTCAAAAACCTGTACTTTTTTTTCCTACTCAAGGGAGAAATGTACCACTACCAATAAGTCTTGGCAGATACAAGACTTGTGTTAGCTGCCCTGGAAGACCACAAGCTGTTTATGTGTGTATAAAAAAATATATGTGTGTATGCATATATATAAATTTTAATATGTAATATAATATAAATATATACTTATATACAAAAGACATAAAATACATAGATATGCTTTCATATCTAAATTACCATTGGTATTTAAACTCAAATTTATTAAAATTTAAATGTTAGCCAGCTTTATAATTAAATTGCATGAGCTTCAATAATAAGTATTTGATTGAAGGTCCAAGTTTCAATTTAAGAATGTCCTGGGCTCCCCTATAAATATCTCTATCCTGTACAAATGTACAAGATCTTTAAAGGTACAGCATCACTTAGTTAGCTGTTATCTTCTCAGACGCTAGTACTTCATTGGTGCCCAAGTAATATTATTTGAATACATTAATGAAACTGAGCTACTAGTATGATGATACTTATTGGTCCTAGTGAGTCACAGGAGTCTGGTGTATAATATCAGGTTAGTTAAAGTTTAAAATGGTGGCTTCCAGCTTAAGTCCATTCAGATTATTTTTTCTGTGCCAATTGGAATTATAAAGCAGTTCGAAATAAGTAATGCTATTCACTATATTTAAAATAGAAGTCCCCCCTCTTTAAAATCAGAATATATTATTTTATTCAGATAGAGAAACACTAGTATAAACCTTAGAAGCATGGCTTTTTAATATAGATTTTTACTTAAATATCAACTTTAGCTATGTCTTTTTTACCAATAAACTGAGTTTTCATATCTAGATCATTTCTTAATTTTACCTCCTCACCACTGAAATTTGACTTAGAACTGTTGATAATAATTTTACTACCTTAAGTTCAGATGAATATCCACACTTAAAATAATTTTTAAATACAATTAAATATCTGAGGTAAACAAGGTTACAAATTACTTTATCAAAATGAAGAGGAAACCAAACAGGAAATTTAAAATAAAATTAACCCTAGTATCTTCTGTTATTCCCCTTCTTCTGAAATACAGTGTTTGTAAGAAACTATTGGAGTGCCAGATGCCTTAAATGAGGAATGATTCAGCAGATGTATTGTGCTCTATAATGAACTGAACCAATTTTATGACCATAGAATTTTTCTCTCATTTTCAAATAAAAATAAAGTTACAAAAGCAAAACAAGATACAATTGAAAAAATGCTCAACATCTCTAATCATCAGGGTAATGAAAATCAAAACCACAATGAAATATCACTTATGTCCAGTGACAATGGCCTTTATCAAAAAGTCCGCAAACAATAAATGTTGGGGTGGATACAGAGAGATAGGAAAACTCCTACATGGCTAGTGGGACTGCAAACTAGTACAACCTCAATGGAAAGTAATATAGAGAAACCTCAAAGAGCTACAAGTAGAAGTATAATTTCATCCAGCAATCCCATTACTGAGCATCTACCCCAAAGAACAAAAGACATTCTATAAAAAAGACATCTGCACTCGAATGTTTATAGCAACACAATTCACAATTGCAAAGATGCGGAAATAACCCAACATGAGTGGATTAATAAAATGTGGTATATGTATACCATGGAGTTCTACTCAGCCATAAAAACAATGGCGATCTAGCACCTCTTGTATTATCCTGGATAGAACTGGAGCCCATTCTACTAAGTGAATTATCACAAGAATGGAAAAACACACCACATGTACTCACCATCAAATTGGTATTAACTGATCAACACTTAAGTGCACATATAGTAGTAACATTCATCGGGTGTCTGGCAGATGGGAAGGGGAGAAGGGGTTGGGTATATACACACATTGAGTGCGGTGCACAACATCTGGGGGATAGAGGCTTGGAGCTCAGACTCGGGTGAGGCAAAGGCAATATTTGTAATGTAAACATTTCTACCCCTGTAATATGCTGAAATAAAAAAAGTTTAAAAAAAGAAATAAAAAGAGGAGAAGCCACGCAAACAGGGGATAAAACCCCTAACGTCAGGATATATTTTACATACTGAAAATACAAAGATAAATTGGACACAGATCCTAATTCATATAGAAGATAACATTTTAAATACATATCTGGAAAATATTTTAAGCTGGTGTAATGGCCAATGAAAAAACCCTAGGGTGATAGTCTGGCATGTTTGAAAACCAGTAAAGATTATTGTAGTTAATGGAAGGAGTGAGGGAGACAGTCACATAAGCAATGAAGACAGAGATGGAACAACGGCCAAGATCATGTTGGATCTTGTGGACCATTGTCAAACTCGAGTTTTTCTCTGGGTGAAATGGAGTGCAGCAGATTAAAACAAAACCCGACTTTGTTTTAAAAAGATTATCCTGTCTGCTATGTTGAGAGTAAACAGTGTAAGGCAATGAATGAAGCCAAGAACTGATTAAGAGGACTTTGTAGTAATTCAAGTAAGGGCTAATGTTCTCTCCCATCAAGGAGGATGTGTCAGAGCTGTGATATGTGGAGTATGTGGAGTAGTGACCTAACTGTTATGTATATAAAGGTGTTCATATATTTATAACATTTAAAACTTTTGTTTGGCAAAGAATACATTATGCAAATAGGAACCAAATGGATTTTGAAAAAAATTTAGTTTAAATGCAGGTGATAGATATAGGATTAATATCCAGTAGGTTTTAAAGTTGAATAAAAAATAAAATAAAAATATCACAGAAAATAGGGAAAGTACATAAACACATGTCTCAGAAAAAGCAAATTAAAAATGGTTTACAAATGTATTTTAAAAAAAAGACACTCAAGCTCATTAATAGTCAGGTGAATACAATTAGGAATGCTGAGAGAATGAACTAGTTTTATGCATTACCTGTTAGAATGAGAATTACTATAACTTTTGAGAACATCATATGATTTTATATATATAATATATGTAGCATATATAATTATATTGTTACAACATATATTTTATGTTATTATAATATATATTTATTATAAATTATATTAATCATTATATTAACATTTATATAATTAATATGTGTATTATTTATTATGATTAATTAATATATTTATATTAATAAGATATAATATAAAATAATATATTATATCACATTATAAATGTAATATATCTTACAGACTACTTTCTGGTCCTAGTGTAGGGTGGGAAGCAGTAAGCTACACCTCACACAACCTTGTTCCACTTCATTGCTGTTGGGTGGGATGGATGCTCAGCTCCCCACTTGGCCTCATTGACACTACCTGGGCAGGGAAAGCAAAGTGCCAACTGGCACTGCTTTGTTCAACTTTGTTGCTTTTGGGTGGTGAAGGAAGTTTGTATTGTTGCTTGGATTCATACATACCATACTGATGGGGCATCAGATTGCCACCTACTACCACCAGACATGGGTGAAGTTCAGTCTACAGTTTGCCCCACTGACATCAATCACCCCTGTGAGGGAATCATTGTACCTCTTCCTACAACAAGCAAGGTGTGGAAGTTTATCCCACTCATTGCTGCTACCACAAGTGAGAGGCAGTTTTCCTGTAGTTTTTAGCTGTTGTGGAATGGGTTATTATGTAAAAAAGAGTCTTCTATTCTGCTAGAGCTGTACCTTTGATTAGAGAACAGTGTTGTGTTTGCTTGTTTGTTTGTTTTTCTCTTTATCTTTTGGAGGTTCAGGGTCTCAGGCTACCCCAATGTCCCATCTGAGATATATTGGAGACCCAAAACAAATCCTATGAGACTCACCACTATATTTTCCTCAAGTCTCAAGATTACTATGCTGTCTGTTTTCTTCTTTTCACCTTTCAGAGACTTCGTAAGCTTGTTCATTATGCTATGTCCAAGAGTAAAGGTCCTAAGAGGGAGAATGAGGGAGGAATGAACCACCTAATCTTGGCTGGAACCAGACATTATTCCATTCAGATTTTTAAAAATTCTTGTTCCTCTCCTTATGCCTGGCACCTGAGGGATTGCTCCTGCATCAGCACATCTAAGTGGTCAGCCAATGACTGGACAGAAGTTGAACTCAAACACCTGAAGTCACTAGGGCTTCCGATTGCTGCCATGGCATCTTTGCTGAGTAGGAGAGTGTGTTCAAAACTCAGGTCATGTTCAAATATGCCCCAGTTTTCAATTTATCCTGTGGCCTTTTGCAGCCTCTGGTCTGCTGGGAGTGTGTTGGTAAGTTGGGTTTTTGCTATTCTCTGCTGTGCATTCCTGCAGTTAGTCTAGAATATACTTGCACTAAGCATGACCACAGCCTCAGGCTAGCAGAATCATTGACCCTTTTTGCTTTCCTGTCACTGAGAGTAACATTTCCACAACCCACGACTCTGAAACAACTCTGATATGGGTGTTACCATTTGTTCACAATTGAGTGAGAACCTTTTGTTTGTGCTGCACTGCTGCTAGTTCTCGTGGCCTGGGCCACTTTTACATAACCTCACATCACCAAGTGGGGTAGGGGGTAGGGGCTGTTGATTGGAGGAGGCCTGTGCAAAAATGACACAGAGTCCCACTGTTCTTATGTATTTTTTATACTCAAATGCCTGTGAAGTGAGCTGAAGTGAGTGAGCCGTCCTAGGGTCAGATTGGCTGAGACCCCAAGTCAGCAGAACAGGAGCCCATCGCTTGTTCCCACAATTAGCAGGACGTGGCTTGTTGACCAGCTGAAGAACTGTTTCTCCAGGCAAACGGCCAAGAACCTGTGGCCTCCGGTGAGAGCTACGGTTGCCTGGTAACCAGCACGCGGTGCTAGGCGCCGCAAGATGGTCAAGGATTTTCCGTCTGGCACTCGAGCGGAGATTGTTTGTTATCTGAAAACAGTGTGCCGAACATCAAAGAGATCTCTTGTAGAAGGCCATGCTTTTTGCTTTGAGTGGAAAAGCAGTTAAGGTGTTGTTGGCCGTGGGAAGTCAGGTACCAAAAAGTAGCTGACAGGAGAAAATAGCTGCGGGACGCTTGCCCAATTAAACTGTATAAAATAAATTGGGTTGCGCAATTTTGATTGCTGCAGTCTGAAACTGTCTCTTGTCCCCGTGTCCTTTTTTCTTCCGGGACTGCAGCCAATTCTGTCTATCTGTGTCTTATGTATATGTTCTGTGTGTGTCATCCCCTGTTTTGTAATCGGGCCAAAACAGCCTGTCCCTGACTGGTTTTGTTATGACCGGTCATTATGATATTGTGCACTGTCATGAAGAATAATGGTGGGACATACTCTGTATTCACCTTGCCTTCAACACATTGTAGAACCTATTCAATTTTGGGTGTCCCAGTTATTATTTTGGAGGAAAAAGAATGAGACTCTCTCGACTTAAAGAAAATTCTGAAAGAAACCAGTCTCAACTGTGATCCTGGAGCCTCTGCCTCTGAAACACTTTCTAGAAATAAACCAGATTTAGTTTGGTGTCAAAACAAGGATCTAGTAATATTTAGATTACTACAGAAGGTTGAACCAACCTGGCTTTTCGAAAATGGAATGCTGCCCAGTAATAAAAGGATCAAACTGTTGATATATGTGACAATTTAGATGGACCCAAAGGGCATTATGATAGTGAAAAATAAAGTCAATATCAGAGATTCCATATTGTATGAGTCCATTTATCTCCTCAAAATTACCAAACTATAGAGATGAAGAATAGGCTGGTGGTTGCCAAGGACAGAGATGAAAGTGGGAAGGGAAGCATATGACCACACAGGGGTGGATAACAGTCTGTTTATGGTAGTGAAACAAAGTCTGTATCCTGATTGTTCTGGCGGTTACGTGAATATGTACATGGGGTTGAAATGTATAGATCTTCACATATATACATACACATATGCACACACAAATAAGTGTGTGTTAAACTGCTGAAAGCAGAGTAAAGTCTGTAGTTTAGTTAACATTTTTATGCAATGTAAATTTCCTACTTTTGCTATTGCCCTACAGTTGTAGAAAATGTCACTATTGGAGGAAGCTGGGTGAAGAGTTCAAGGGCATCTATGTAGTACTTTTGTAATGTCCTATAATTATAATTATTTTAAAATAAAAAGTTAAAAAAATAGTTGCCTTCCTATAAGCAAAGCACAAATTCATACGTACTTGCAAATTCTAAAATCCTACTTTCTTGAAACTGTAGCCCAGTAAGAATGATCTTTCTTACAGATTTGACTTCAACCTCTTAAAGGCAAATGCATGTTGAGTCAGAACAACCCAAGATTATTAAATTTGCATGAAATACAGGATCATTCTACATTACAAACTTTTTTTCTTTAAAAAAATTAAAATAAGGTCTCCTTTTTCTGTCAATAAAATAGTCACAATTAAATAATGATTATTTAAAAGGTCTCAAAATACTTAAAATGAGCATAACAAATAAACTTTACTAAATTACACATAAATTCTTATTAAAGTCAATATACTGCCTAGAATTATAATTAGCTAAAATTTCAATGACATTATTTATATGTATGTATTTATGAATAAAAACAGAGGCTTATTTCTCCTATACCCTATGGAATATATAATCCCTAAGGGTAAGCTCACATCTACTATCATAAATTAGGGTGTAAACACAGGCATCATAATTTCTTCCCTGCAGAGTTTACCATGATAAAGGAGATCCTAGGGGAGACCTAATATTGGATTTCTAATTACATCAAAAAATTATAAGACTTAAGCAAATACCATGTGCTCTATGACTTAGTGCCTGTGGTGTTAAGGCTGTGGTTTTCCTTTTCATCTTTTTGGCAGATTTATAAATAGAAGTTTGATCTGCACTTGAGAATGCCTCCTGGAACATTCAGGTTATAAGATCTATGCTTGATGCTCTTGCCAGTCAAAGGAGAAGATTCTGTGACTCTATCTGGTCAGCTTTGATACCTGAAAAGCCAGTGCTTCCTCTAGGACAGTGGAGGTGAAACACACACAAAGGTCATCACTGAGTGGAAAGTGGGTGAGTTAATCAGATTTCTATTTTTCTGTCTACTGCATGTTGCCAAAAAATGAGGAACAGTATTACATTGAGTAATAAGAAACTCAGTGGTATGGAGCTCTGAGTCTACTGTCTTAATTTCTCTCATATGCTGTGTTGGCCACATCCTCAGTCTGGTAGCAAGACAGCCATCAGAACACAGCAACCCTGGATAAGGAGAGGAGATTTGTCTCTTTCTCAAAAAAAAATTAATGTGTGCTATACTTATAGAAGAGATAAAGTATCTTAAGAATATAGTTTGTTAAATGTTTACACCTTAGTAACTAGTATAACTAGCCCCCAAGTTAATTATGTTTCTCTTCTGACCTCTGATGAAAACTTGTGAAAATACATTCACCTTCCTTTCTTCGCCTGTCTAGGTAGCATGGAGTAGAGGACAATGTGTAGAAATACTGGGTGGTATGGTTAATTATAAATCTGAGGTTGCCAAGGGTCTCTTCAATAGCTGTTAGCAATTGTGACTTTATGGATTCTTATAATAAGGTATCTGGGAACCCTATAGATCATGAGAGACTCCTGTCTGGGACCAGAATATCGCTACAGTCTCTCCCATAAAGAAATCCTCTCTTACTTGATGATCATGACAGGTGAAGTGAGGTGTCTAGAATAACAGAAACATGAGTAGGAACTAGGAAGTGAACATGAAAGAAGAGGGATGAGAGACACATCCCCACAACCCAAGCTCACTGGCAGGTGGGCTTGTCCTTCAACTACTGCACCTCTCTATCTTCTAGAAAGGACAAGCCTAATTCTCACAATCAGTTCATGCAGACAAAACACAGAGTGCTTGAATTTTGAGGGGTGGATGTGGCAGTACATTAAGACCCCATGAAACAAAGGAGAATTCTCCTGAATTCCACCAGTCTGAGTCCCTGCCTCATAAATGAGAATTTGTAATGAAAGAGCTGAGTTTTCTGTTAATGGAATTTTCTTCTGTCCTCCCAGATTTTGAAGATGAAACTGTCTTCTGGAAATGATTCCTTAGTGACTGAATTCATTCTTGCTGGATTAACAGATCGTCCAGAGCTCCAACAACCCCTCTTTTACCTGTTCCTAATGATCTACGTCGTCACAATGGTGGGCAACCTTGGCTTGATCACTCTTATTGGTCTAAATTCTCACCTCCACACCCCCATGTACTATTTCCTCTTCAACCTCTCTTTCATTGATCTCTGTTATTCTTCTGTTTTCACTCCCAAAATGCTGATGAACTTTGTATCAAAGAAGAATATTATCTCCTATGTTGGGTGCATGACTCAGCTATTTTTCTTTCTCTTTTTTGTCATCTCTGAATGCTACATGTTGACCTCAATGGCCTATGACCGCTATGTGGCCATCTGTAATCCATTGCTATATAAGGTCACTATGTCCCATCAGGTCTGTTCTGTGCTAACTTTTGCAGCTTATACAATGGGATTTGCTGGAGCCACTGCCCACACAGGGTGCATGCTTAGACTGACCTTCTGCAGTGCTAATGTCATCAACCACTACCTGTGTGACATACTCCCCCTCCTCCAACTGTCTTGCACCAGCACCTATGTCAATGAGGTAGTAGTGCTCATTGTTGTGGGTATTAATATCACAGTTCCCAGTTTTACCATCCTAATTTCTTACATTTTTATCCTCACCAGCATTCTTCATATCAAATCCACTCAAGGAAGATCAAAAGCCTTCAGTACTTGTAGCTCTCACATCATTGCTCTTTCTCTCTTTTTTGGGTCAGCAGCATTCATGTATCTTAAATATTCTTCTCCTGGATCTATGGACCAGGGAAAAGTTTCTTCTGTTTTCTATACTAATGTGGGGCCAATGCTCAACCCCCTCATCTATAGTTTGAGGAATAAGGATGTCAAAAGTGCACTGAGGAAACTCCTGATTAAAATTCATAGAAGACACATATTCTAATTAGATGCAGGAGAAACATAAAGAAATTGAAGGTTCTATAATTTTTATTGGTGTTTTTGATGTGGAGACTTTGTTCATAATTTTGTTGCTTCTACAGATTGTGTTATGTGTGGTTTAGTACAATTGGTTTATTCCCCTTGTAGCTAATCTTGTCTAATTATTTGTTTTCATATGTCTTGCACCTCTCACAAGTTTACTAAATAAGAAACAGCATGTTTATAAAAAGAACATATGCACCAATATCTTTTATTATCATTTCATACACTTTCTGTCCCCTGGGCTATTTTTAATCGGGACAAATTTTGATGAATTTTGTAAATTGCAAAAAAGTAAAAATTACAGCTTTCTCATCTAAACATAAGTGCCAAATATGATAGAAGCATTCTCATTTTATCAATATTGTTGCTTGCACAGGTAGCAGTGTTCAATGAAATGTCTTCATTACAAATTGTGTGTAGCCTAAAGTAGAATCAGATCCTCTTGATCTTGTCCTCTTATTCTATTCTATTTTTCACCATTTTTTCCTTTTATTATTATAATTTTTCTTGTTATCTTTGAGAATGGCACAATCTGTACCTCATGCCACCAGCTTCTGAGATCCACTATCAGCCCAGTCAATCTAATATTGCAGAGAATATGTATAACTCCACATTTTGTTGCCACAGACAGCATTAACAGAGGATGCTTGAAAAAGGTAATACATGTTTGTCTCAGGTTTCCAATAAGGGGAGAAAATAGTTTACATTACAAAGCTTTAACTTATTACTATCTAAAATGTCATCAAAATTTTGGAAAAACACCATATATTATTAGTTCCTGCTATAGATGCTATATTTTATTCCCTGTAGGAAAATACTGTATATTGAGTTAGTAGAAATATTTTAGCTAATGGTTTACTCATTCAATGGGGTTTGCAATGAAAAACTGTTTATTAATGATAGTGAATTATATTTCTACAAATATTTCACATGTTACTTAAACTTTGTCTCACCACTAAGACATGGAACATATTTATCATGGAGGTTGTTTCTTATAATTCATCTATGTTTGTATATTTAGAATGTCAGATATTTATGAGACCAAGGAATACTTGTTTAATTGGAGTGTCTTGTCAGATAACACCAATAATACATACATTATTATAATATTAGTAATAACATATAATAAATAACAATAATTATAAATCAGAAGAACATTGAGGCTTAAGTTCTATTTTTGGAGGTGGACTGTGGCAGCCTTAGAAAAGGACTGTGCAGCTCCCCATCAAGAGAACCAGTGGTGGGGAGTGCAGTTGACTGCAGGTCTACAGATGGTACTTCTTTGGATCCATCATGATGTTCAGGTAGAGTCCAGACTTACTCTGAGATGGTCTCAGCCAATGACTTAGCAGGGTGGGTGGGACTTAACTAGAGCTGGCCAATTTCTGTCTAACACGGGTGTCTTCTGACAGGCAATCTTTGCTTAGAGACTTCTTATCACCCTGACCAAGACTTGTTAGAACTTCACTGTGGTCTGAGATTTTCATACTTAATCCTCTCATTTCTTTCTCCTTTCTTATGTGTCAGACTTTCATCTTGGTCTGAGGCCTTCATCACCGACCCTCAGTCCCTCTTATTTTATCTTTCATGGGCATTTACCAAAATAAATGTGTTCCAAGTCTAATCAATTTCCTGGTATTTCCTTCTTAGAGGATCCTAAATGACAAGGAGGTCTTACATTAACCGATTTTAAAAATTAGTATAATAGTGTGATAATGAAGAGAGATTGGTTTTGTTATAAAAATAGGTGAATAAGTCCCTGGGCCAAGATAAGAGTATTCAGGAACAGATCCTCATTCAATAGTCAATTGATTGTGGATAAAGCAACAGAGTAAGTTCATAGTGAAAGAAAAACTTTGAAGCACTTGGCACTAGAAATAATGCCTACCCATAAGGAAACAATGAACCTTGGTTTCTACCTTACACCATACACAAAATTAATCTAAAATGGATCCAAACTATATTAAAAAACTTAAATTATAAATCTTCTACAAGAAAACATGAAAAAGCATGTTAGTGTAGGCATAGATTGCTTAGAAATATTCTAGAAAACACTAAACCCAAAAGAAAAAAAACAAACTTCATTAAAATGAGAACATCTATTTATCAAAAAATATTCATAGGCAAACGACAGGCTGGAAGAATATTTGTAATATATACAAAAATTGTGTTCAGAATATATATAACTACTCACTTATTAAAAGATACATCAATAATAAAAAAATTTAATAAATGGGCAAATTTTAAAAAAAAGAGATACCCTAAAGGAATGCATGCAGATAGCTAATAAGCACATGCAGAAGTGTTTAACTTGCTGCACCACTTTAGCTGTATAGTCAGCAACTGGGTAGGACTGGCTTACCTGCTATCCTATCCTCCCTCACGGCATGCCTGGACTTTGCCCCTTGAGTGGCTCAATCCCTTATCAGGCCTTCTTACTGGTCTCCCTTCTTGTTGATCCTAGCAACCTCTGGGCAGAACCTCTACATCAAAAGTTCAAGAACCAGCTGTGAGGCACCTCCAACACTCTATCCAAACACCAGTCCTATAGAACATCTCCTTTGAGATTCTAGAATCTGATTGTGCTCCCTACTTCTATTTTTTTACCAGTCCTGGGAGTGGTAGCTATTTTCTGTAGTTCATTAGTCTTTCTATTTTCTCAGTGTCATCCTTTTGCTCTTTCTCCCTGGCAATATCTGTATAACTAATTCTCTGTTTTAAATATCCTCTTAAGGAAATACATAGCATACTATTTGTTTTTTTGGCTGGACCCATTTTGATACAGGGAACACATTTTATGCAATTTTTGAAAGACTGTCTTGCCCATGTCACATCATACAATCTTGTCCAGTTAGCACATGCAAAACCTTGATGACAGGAAATAGTTATTTAACTATGTAATGTTTTTTGTGTTTTTTTTTTTTGCCAAAATTATTTTTACAAAAGTCCTTGTCACCATCCTGGGTTATAGTTAAATCTAGGGATCCTTGTGATTCCCTTTTCACTACATAGGAGAGCCCATTTGAAACTAAACTCCAGTAGAACCAAACAGAAAAAAAGTGGGATGAGAGACAAACCCTCATGTATGATTGACTCTGCCTTGTCTAGCCATACAAGAAGCCTTTTGAATTCCTGAATGATAAGTTTTACATACCTTTTTGGTGTAGCCTGGTTTATCAAAATAAGTTTGACTTGGATTCCTGTCATTCAAATTGAAAGAGTCCTGAATATACCTTGTACAACATTGTGTGATTGTGATATTCTACATTGTGTAACACAGTTCTTCATAGTGTAGTAGTTAAAGAAAGCAACTTTGCCTTTATAGATACCAAGTATGAAACTTGTTCTCCCAGTAGATGCTTTGACCTTGGAACAATCAATTAGTAATCCTAGGTTTGAGTTTGTTATATGTAAGACAGGGATGCCTGGTTCAGAGAGTTATTGTAAGGGTGAGATGAGGAAAGGTATATAAAGAATATTATCACTGTGGTTGGCCAATAATAACTAATAGTGGTACAATTCTTGGTTTCTTTGTTTATCTCTCTAATTAGATTGAGGAATCCTAGGGGTTAAGGTCTATATCTCATTCTGTTTGTGTTCACAGTCAATTGCAACCTAAATATAAAAAAATCATTGGATGAAATAAATAAGTAAAAATTATAAGATAGAGTCTATTTATAGGATTTTAGGCCTCATACACCATCTACTGAGTATGATAGATCTGCTCAAGATCTAGAATCTTTAACTGCCAGTCTCCAGGCTCCTGTGGGCTTGGTGTGTTCCTAGCTGTTGTCCTAGAAATGCAGCCTGAGGATTCTGGCTAAAGATGGCAGATGTAATGTAAACACTTTGTGTCTATTTCTGCCTGAAAGTCACTAATGTGACACAAAAGGGATTAAAAAATGGCATTAACTCACAGGGACAAACAAAAAAAACTAAATAGTAGAATAACAACTCCAAAATTTGGAGAGTTAGAATATAGACAAATGAACAATATCTCATTAACATTCTCACGACATCTGACACTAAGAGCTGGATAAAACAAGAAAACACCTGGTTTTCACCATACAATCTCTCATCTGCTCAGAATTTTGTGGCACAGGCCCCTTTGGCAGAAGTGAAGGTGGGGACAAGACAAATGGAATGCTTTAAAGTCTGTTCAATGGCTAATTAGATCTTCAGATCTCCCCTACCTCTGCATGAAGCTACATGACTGCCTCCATTTACACTCAGTAAAAGACTAGAGGATCATTCACTAAAGAAAGTAAAGCAGAGTCTCTAAATCAGAAGACTATATGCATATTTGAGGGAGAGTTTACCATATTGTCAATGAGGCAATAAAGTAGAAGTTTCACCTCATAGATGTTAACACCATTGGCCTTCTTCCTCCTCTCATCTCAGAGAATGTTGGAAGGTAGGATTATATCCTTCAGGAATACTGAAATACTCTTCTCTGTTTAATCAAATTAGTTCACAATAAATGACCTAAAGGTATTACAGCTAAGAGTTCCCTCATTGAAATGGGACAGTATACAGTGTAGCAACATTTGATAAGCACCAAGTGCCCACATGGAGACTCTATCAGCTTTTAGAACCCCACTCCCTGATGGTAAGGCATGGGCAAGTATGCTGAGACACTCAAAGAGAACTTTAAATATAAAATTTACTTCTTGAAAATCAGAGACAATTTGTAGGAAAGAAGTAATTCAAAGGAAAGAAAACTCCAAGAAAACATCATAAGAGGACAAAGTATACTCCTGAGCATTAGAAATGATATAAAAAAGGAACAAGAAAGATCCAGAGGGAAAATTGAGTTAGGGAAAATACAGGAAATAATTTTTTAAAAGAGAAGTATAATTATAGTAAAGAAAAGACAAAATTCCAGGATTTCAGCTTCTGAATAATGAATATTTCAGAAAAGGTAACAAAGTAGTAGGAGGACATCATTATTTATATAGTTTC